CCCCTCACCAAACAGATCCATAGACCAGTGGCCATCCGCGGAGCGCCGCGGCATCTCACCAAACAGATGCACAGACCGGTGCACGCCAGTCACCGGCCATCCGTGGAGCGCCGCCGCAACTCGCCAACCGTGAAGGCGCACAGCCCGCCACCCATCGTCCCGTCGGTGAGTCCGCCGTGCACAGCCCTTAACCGTCGCCTCCGACCGGCACCTCACACCGGCGCAACACTCAGCGACGCTTACAGCCACCGCACGGTCCCGCCGTCAACCGCTGCCGCTCGTCTCGCCGCGGCAAGCCCGTCACTGTAGTGATGCGCCTGCGGCGTTTATACCTTCCCCACAGCCACATCCGCCATTCCCGACGCTGTCGTCCGCGTTATACCGACGGCGCCGTCAGTCGACGCCAGAAATTGACAACCACCACCAAAATATTTGATAGCAATGGTTGGGGAAGAAGAATTGGGTACAGTGTTGTGAATTCACAATTTTGAGAATTAGATATTTCTTAGGGGCTCGATTGCAATTTTGTAAATTTTGATTAAATGTCAATTTAGTACTTAGGTCAAATTTGTAACTTAGAAAACATTTATAAAAACTATTATTCTTTATATTTTTTTATACATGTATATTAAAATAATAAATAAAAATATGAAATAAAAATTGTTAAAAAAATATTGTACATTAGATTGTATAGTATACATTAAATAAAAAAACCGTAATTATTGAAATAAAAAAATTATTCTTCATATTTTTATACATATACGTTGAATAATAAATAAAATATAAAATATAAGATATTAAAATAAAATAATAAATAAAATATTGGATAAATAAATAAATAATAACATATTTAAATTACTTTGGTTAATTAAAAGTATTAAAATAATAATTATACTTTTATAATGAAAACAAATAAATTATTTCAATTATTTAGGTTAATTCGATATACATTTATATCTATTAAATCTAAATTTCAAAAACACTTAATATATATGTAATTTTATAAAGTATTGCACTTTATATACCAACACAATGCACTTTATAAAACAACACATTGCACTTTATAAAATAAACCGTTGCACTTTATAAAAATATCACATCATGAATCTAAAAAACGTACATATATGATTCATTTATCCACACGAAATACAGGCATACTAACGTACCGAAATTACAGTAGTCCATTTTATATATCATCATGATGCACTTTATAAAACAACACACTGCACTTTATTAAACAACACGTTGCACTTTATTAAACAACAGATTGCACTTTAGAAAACAGCACGCTGCACTTTATAACGACTATTAGACTGCAGTCACTGCACAATAGAGATCGGAGCCGACCGAACTCAAAAAAATTCAGTCAAAAAATAATATAAAAATAATAAATAAAGTTATTGAGATATTACATATGATTTTAATATAAATAACAAATTATTTCGATTATTTAGTATAATTCGATTCACCAAACCGAACAACTCAATTAATTATGTTCATTTTCAGTTTGATTTTGGACAACAGTTCGGTTGGTTCAATCTGTTGCCCAATACAGACAATCACCGTGCACCAATAGTGTTGGCAGAATTGCACTTTAACAACTATTAAGTTGCACGATATATTTCGTTTGCATAATATTATTTTTTAATCAAAACATAAAATATAATATTAAATGCTAAACATGAATGTATATTAAATTACAGATTATCAAACAACTAAAAATTATCTAAATATTAAATTACAGATTATATACATTCATGTATTAAATTACAGATTAAACATGAATGTATATTATAGATTACAAAATAATATAATGTGCATTAACTAAACTTCTATTAAATTACAAATTTGCCTCAAGTATTGAATTGAAATAAATGAAACTTCAAAAATATTGCAATCAAGCCCCTACATCATATCAAATTCCCAAAATATAACCCCACAAATCCAAACCACATTTCTACCGCCACCTCCGTCCACATCTGCCGGAGCTCACTCCGATGTTCGGTCGCCATCGTTATGGTCATCACCATCCTCGCCATGACAACTAACGCCGCCACATCTGTCGGCTCTGCAAAAAAAGGAAAAAAAAATGAATAGCCATTTCTTCACAGATCGTCGCCTCATTTGTGCCGGGGAGGGGAACGACGGCGAAGGCTACGCCACGTGACGACGGGGCTGTGATAAACGCCCGCCGGGAGATGTCGACCACGCCGGCCGTGTTCAGCGCCGAAATCGGATAGTTCTTCAGATCGACGGCGGTTTGCTGGTTACGACAGTGACGTGAACGGCGATGGGTGCGACGGTGGCGCGACCGAGGTCCGGCAACGGTAGCGCGGCTGAGGTCCGGTGGTGGCTCTGTCGACCTTGATTGTGTTTGTGTGTGTGGACGGGTGTTTTGTGTGTGTAGGTATGTGTTGTGTGTGTTTGTGTGTGAGAGAGGGTGGGTGGGTTAGTTGTGGGGTCCACTAATATTGTATCATGTCTTATTTACCCCCATTTAGTAGTATAATGGTTAAATTTGACCATGGTATAAATTATTATTTACAAGTATGCCATCCTGTTTGACTGTTACATATTAAATTTTGACTTGATCATGACCATTAAGTTGATGGATCCAATGATCCATAATCATTCTTATTTCTTTCATTATAACTCATTCTCATATGATCCCTTCTCTCTCTCTCTCTATATATATATATATATATATATATAAAGGTTCGATTATTTTTTAAATAGTAACTATTTCCCTTCAAAAAAGATTATTTACTATTTCGAGAAATTAATTTAACAATTTATGGTATATTTCAAATGATCACATATGGTAATTGCGGCTCATTATTTAAGGAAGTAATTAAGCCATATTTTAAGATACCTTAATTACTTCAAATCATGTGAATTAATTAATATATGGCATATAGTGGACGAATTTATTTTTGGTATTGATAGTTGTTTCTATAAGAAATAAATTAATAAATATATGGTATAAAGTGAGCAAATTTATTTAGGTTATTTGATAATTGTTTGTAGAAAAAGCTCTGGTCGATATATATATATATATATATATATATATTGTATAATTAGTGGGTCTCTATTTAATTTAGTTTTTGTTACGACATTTCAATTAATTTTTGTGTGAAATGCACTGTTTAATTTTTTAGCATGATAAATAGTGTCGATTTGTTTGGCATAAAATTTTTTATGATTGATTGCTTTTAAAGTTTTACTTAACTACTGAAATTTTTTTATTTGGATATTTTATACAAAAATAAATTCATTTTAATTAATTAAACAATATAATTTTCTTATTTTTACTTATTATTCACATAGGTTTTTAAATATATGATAAAATTATACCAAAATAATTATTTATGGAATCACGTTATAGTCAAATCGAATTTCTGAATAAAATTTTTGAAATGACACATACTTTGAAATGATATAATGTAATTTATTATCAATTGTGTGCAACGCACGGGATGTCTACTAAATTTAAATAGACATTTTTATATAATTTTGCACAATTTAAATTTTATATAACAATTTCAATAAATTATACAGGTACATTGTTTACATATTGATTACATGTTTCTAATTTATAAATATTATTTAATGAGAATTTTTAATTTATAAATATTAATTAATATCTTTTACCTGTGTATCGCACGAGATTCGTACTAGTATACATAAATAGAATAACCATTTACTAAAAATAGTAGCAAAAAATTTTGGGAGCATTTAATGCATACCTTTTTTGGAAACTTTTTAAATATATGCATTAATTGTTTCCATATACACATTTTCAAATAAGATCAAATCAGATATGATCAAGAATATTGCTTCCTTCAATAATTTTATTAATATTTACAATAATTTCATTCACACCCTAATAATAAACTACAAGATTGATTTTCCTTGATTCATGTTGATAATATTTTGGGCAAGATAAATATGAAAATATATTTTAAATTCTAACCATAATATTAATTTTTTCACAAATATTCACTTTTTATCCTAAAATAGTTATAGAGAATCTAATATGTTAGGTATATTTTTTTTCTTCCAACTAATCAGGCGAAATCAAGTTGGTGAACTAATCTTTGTCAATATAATTTTTTCTAAAGCTTTATTTCATTATATATAAAAAGTAAATTATTTTTCAACTTAATATAATTTACCATTTAAGACCAGATACATTAAATAGATTTATCAATGGTCAAAAAATAAAATTGAAATATATTAATTGTTATGTCAACCATATTTATTTTTTTTTATTTTTTAATTTTGATTTCTTTCTGTAATGAAATTCTTGTAAAATATATGTCCATTGCAGAGTATGGTAAATAAACTATAAAGTCTTATGATGCAAATTAGAAAAATATCTTGATTATAGAAGGGATTGAGTTTTTGGAATTTTCTAAATCAAAGTTGTTTAATTAGTATATAAAATTAAATTCTTAAAATACATGTGTCTATATTTTGTAAAATATTTATATACTATTTAATTTTGAATTTATTTACATAATTTAAATTGTTTATATAAATAAATAATACTAATGTGCATTAAATATTTTGCATAACATAAAAGAAAAAGAAAAAGACGTACTGCTTCTACAACTTTTATAAAAAATAATGACATTATATGACAATAAAATTTATAATGTAATCATAACTAGGTATTATATGATGAACAAGAAGAAGTAAAACTATTATTTTCTCTTATATAAAGGAATAAATATATATACATATATATACTAAAATCAAATTTATATTAGTATAAATGTGTTAGTGAGATAATATATTAATTAATTTACAGGCTAGCGGTAACATTCTCATATTTAATGTTCTGGCTAGTTATCAAGCCCTTTCTCTCTCTAAAAATCGTTCGAATCCTAGCCCTTCTCCTTCTCTCGTCTGAGCTTCTTTGCCACTGCTCGCCTTCCCCGGCGGTTTGCCAGTCACTTCGCTGGCGGATGGCCTGTAGCCGCGCAGACTCGCTCCAATTCGCGCCTTTACCAGTTTCTCTTGCTCCGATAGGGGATGTCCGATGCCCGTCAGTCGGCTTAGGCATTGTTCCGTCGCCGGTGACGGGCTCGTCTGTGGATCTTCCAGCTTGCGTCGAGGTGCTGCGTGGTGGTTTGTAGTCGGAGTGTTGGATGCGACCCTGGTTTCTCGACTCATCTACTACGAATAGGCCGGAGCTGAGGTGTGGTGGTTCTCATCCCTCCGACTGTGAGTCGGCTTCACTTCTTGGATTGGTTTGGGGTCTCGGGTTTTGGCTTCAACTAGGCGTTTCGGCAGTTCCGAGAGCAGATTCTTGGAATGCATTTCAGTCTTTAGAGGTGATTGGCTGTGAATT